CTCTATCAAACTAAGTTTCTGCACAGCAAAAGAAGCCAGCAACAAAGTGGAACGGTAACACATTGTATGGGAGAACATACTTGCCAATGATACACCAGATAAGGGGTTAATATCCAAGGGGTTCTTAATATATAAAGAATTTCTACAACTCAATACTAGGAAGATAAACAATCCAATTAAAAAAATGGGCAAAGGTCAACAGACATATGAAAAAATGTTAAACATCACTAATAATCAGATAAATGCAAATTAAGATCACAACAAGGTATCACCTCACACCTGCCAGAATGGCTACCATCAGTAAATCAACAAACTACAAGTGTTGATGAGGGTGTGGAGAAAAGGGAACGCTAGTGCGTTGTTCGTGGGAATGCAGGCTGGTGCAGCCACTGTGGAAGACAATGCACAGTTTCCTCAAAGAAATTAAAAGTGGAACTGCCTTTTGACCCAGCGATCCTACTTCTGGGAATATATCCTAAGAATCCAAAACACCAATTCGAAAGGCTATATGCATGCCTATATTCATTGCAGTGTTATTTAAAATCGCCAAGATATAGACGCAGCCAAGTGCCCACTTGTAGATGAGTAGATAAAAAAAGCTGTGGTACATTTACACAATGGAGTATGACATGGCTGTAGAAAAGATGGAACTCATACATTTTGTGACAGTACAGATGGACCTGGAGATAATTATGTTAAGTGTAATACACCAGTCGGTGAAAGACAAATACCATATGACCTCACTTATATGTGGAATCTGATGAACAAAATGGAAACAGAAGCATAGATACATGGAACAGCCTGACAGCTGTCAAAGGAGAGCAGGGAAGGGGAACTAGATGAAAGAAGGTGAAGGGATTACACAAAGAACATATGTGTGTACCCCAGAGACACAGACAACAGTGCAGTGATGGCCAGAGGGAAGAGGATGAGGGGAATGGGTGGCGGTGGGCAAAGGGGTGAGGGATGACGACATCTGTAGCAGTGTCAACAATAAAAATAAAGTTAAAAAAAAAGCAAAGCATGTACACCATATACATTCTTCCGCAGCCCTTTCTCTCTCAGGTAGACCTAATCGTTGCCTCTCAAGATGAGAATTCAGCCAAGGAGCCCTGTGGAATAAAGTCCTACTGTAAGGCTGATGAAAGCCATTCCAAATCTATACCATTCATTCTCAAGGAACATTCCCCTAATATCATGAGTATTCATCACTGACTCCCTGCCAAACTCCCCATAAAACCCTGAATTTGGCTACTTCTCTGGAGCCCCAAGGTCCCAGGTTGGAGCAGATGACACAAGCCCCCAAACTCTATCTACTCAGTCAAATTCCCAGCTCTCCTCCCAGTGACCTCAATTGTCTTGGAATCGTTACACATCCCTCGTATCCCCTCTACAGTCATGAAAATAAAAACATTCTAGGTCATTTTTAAGGCATTTTCTTGCATTTGGGCTTCTAAGTTCCTCCCATCCATCTCTTGTCATAGCACCCTCTCTTGTATTTTCAATTTCTCCCTTTCCTATGGGCTGCTTCTAAGGAGCTAAAATCTCTATTCCTGGAAAAGAAAAACTAAACAAGGCAGAAAACAAAGAAATCTTTACTTTTTCAAATATTACTACACTTCCTCTCCTTCCTTTCACTGAAAAATTTATTGAAAATTTCATCTACTGTCTCAACTTTTGTAACCCAGGTTCCACTCATGTCACACTACTGGAATTTCTGTTCTGATTACTCCCAAATCTACATTTCTAGCCTGGATAGTTCTCCAAAGCCTGATCTCCATTCTTAATTTGTCTCAACAAGTCCCCAAACCAAATTCTTCCTGCCTCTGTAACCTGTCTCACTTCATGGAACTTCAAGTTCTCCCACCTGCAACTCACAGCTCTTCTGTACCTCTATTTCTATAATGAGATAGGGAAACTGTAAGTGACATAAAAAACACACAGTAATCTTGGGTTTTCTGGTTAGTGGTGATTGAAAACAGGGCTCTAACATCACTTAAATGAGTAACTGCTTTATAAAACAGTTCATTTCATATCCTGACAACAGGATGTACAAAAGTGAGGCACTATCCTCCCACACACTTTTCACAATTGTTCTGTGTCAAAGTACTGCTGACCTCCTGAAAGATTAAGAAAATAACACATAAAGTAGTTCATATTAACCCCCTTTATCTCACAATTTAATTACAGGACCTACCAATAGCATTATAATTATTTTCAATTAGCTAAATGACATCCTTTTTTTTTTTATGATGGTGGAGGTTGCAGTGAACAACTGCTAAGAGAAAACCCACAATTGCAACAGAAAAACCCAGTCCCCAAAACGAAAAAAAAAGTCTTTGTCACTAGATTCCACATTGACATTCCAATTTTAAAAATATTTCAGTTTTTTGCTTATTGAAATTCATTTCATTCTCCTAAAATTCCAGACAAAGTTTACTTGGTCATAAAATTCTAAGAGATAGTACTGGGAAAGTGAATTCTTACAAAACTGGCTGTGTTCATGTAAATTACTTTCCACTGAACCTAAATCAGAGGAGATTATAACCTGAACACTACATTCAACCTTAGGGATTATAAGTAATAGTGTCTGTCTATTATGGTTAATGAAGGTTGCAAATACAGCCCAGAGTCCACTAAATGAACAGGTACAGAACTGTCATCATCCTAAGGCCCTTGTCAACAGTATTACTTAAACAATCTCCACAGTTTTCTTATCAAGCAATAAGGAAGAAGCAAAATAAAGGTAAATCAAGTGTCCATCCACTGACAAGCTTTCTACTTTCAATGAAATTTGTTTTATAATTACTAAACCCAAAGCAGAATATCAGTAGTCAACTATACAGATATGATTAGATTCTTGCTCAAATTGGTGAATGATGTGATGTGGAGGGAAAAAAGAAGTGACACGTAAAATTCCAAAATAAAAGAACTCCTGAATCCTTGTCCATATACATGATTTAGCTGTTTGCTTCTCCCTGACAAGAAATAACTGGAGCATATGATCCTCTCAAATATCATCATGGGTAGGGCTAAGAAGGCAGAAAGAACATTCCAGAAGGAAAAAAGATTTGAAGAGCAAGGTAGCCCAGGGCAGAAACATCATCTGCTGTAAATACTTCTAATTCTGCTTCCCCTAACCTCTGCTGAAAGAGATACAGAGCAAGATACCTTAGATCTCTTAGTCATTCCAAGCCTTGCAAAAAGTAGAGCGGGTGAGGAAGATTTTTAAAAAGCAAGCAGTAACTAGGAAAATAATGCTTGATCTGGAAACATTGAGGCTGAACAGGAACTTCCCCCCTCTATCTTCAGGGCCCATTCTGCAAAACAATCTTGATTTTACCACGATCTCTGAGAAAAGTGGTAGGAAAACACAAACAAAACTGAGGGAGGAGAAAGCTGTAAGAAATGTATTATTATCCTTGCTTCACTCCTCATCATCCCAACCCATTTTGGCCGTGCTTACCTTCAGCCTCTGTCCCCATACTCCTGTGCCCCCATCATCAGAGCAAGCTAATTATGAAATCATTTTACTTTCCTGAGTATTTAACTTGATCCAATGCTGCAAAATGTAAATGTGAAATATATGCAAAAGTATTCATTTATGCTATTTTCCAATGCAAAAAATCCTAAGGACAACTGATTTCATGAGTATGTGACATTCATGTTATACTTACCTCAGGGAATAAACAGACTTCTGTCAGTCTAAGAAACTATAACAATCATCTGAGCATTAGCTCTGCTCGCAAGTTTCAGCATTGGCTCCAAAGGAGTAATCCCGGGTTTTGCCTAACTCAGTTTTATGACCTTGAACTCAGTCTTTTCTCTCTGGGCTTCAGTGCACTACCACTTTCTTTTCAAATGTGTTATACTGATGTTCTGGATGATTGCTTAACTTCCAGACTATATAACTGTCTTTTAGGTAAGAATCATATTCTATACACTCTTTTTATCTGGTAGAAGCTCAGTGAATCTGTAGACTGATTTAAGAGATGACAGGAAACATACAAAAGACATTAAAATGTGGAAGGATTTGTTTATGTTCATATTATAAACTGGATCCGAAATCAGAACTAAACTCCTTAATTCATCTGCAGTATTTTTCATAGCTGAACTCCTCCCCTTCTTCACACACCTTCCCAGGCCTTTGCATAGGTGTCTTGAACATCCACCTGTATTAAAGGTTGTGGCGATCTGTAAAACATCTTCAAATCCCCCACATTCGGTATAACACTTAAATGCTTGCATAAAGGAATTCTCCAGAATACTCCCTTCTAATAAAACCAGTTAGGGGATGCACCCTCTGAATAAATTTGTATTAAGCAAGCCTATCCTAAGCCTCGCTCTATCCTTCCACCAGGGGAACAAATCAAGGGATGTGCTACATGAAAGAATAAGAATCTTCCAGATTTAAGCTTATACATTTTGGGAGGGGCTAACGCATGAAGGCAAGAGTCATAAATGAAAGAGAGAAAAAAAAAGAGAGAATTGTCCGGTTTCCTAGAGCTTCACTAAAAAATAGGGGAGGGTGGAAACAGTTGTAAAACAGGTTAGAAGTCGGGAGAAATTAAGATCATAGCTTTAAAAGTGCTCTTTCAAGAGATCCACGGACTGATTTTGAGCCATCAGATATGGAATTAAACTTTTTCGGGTGGAAGGAAACAGAGGAAGAGTTAAAAATCAAAGGTGGGGGTTTGGAATTCGCAGGGGACGGACGTGGGTGGGGCGGGGAGAAGGAAGGGAGGAGTCGCTGTGGTCAGAAGATGAATGGGGGAAGAGAGTCAAATGCCGGCCGAAAGGAAGAAAGGGCAGAGGTGAAAAGAGGGAGGGTGAAGGGGAAGGAGCCCAGGGAGGAGCGGTAGTAGAAGAGAAAGATGGGGGAGGGGGGGAATGGAAGTACAGACCCACGGCGAAGCGCCAAGATAGAGGGCGACCCAGAGGTCCCAGACTTGAGAGAGGGGTGTGGGCAACCCGCCCCTACCCCTAGCGGCGGTACTTACCTGTTGGTGTGGAAGCGGTGGAGCGGGTCGGTGCGATGGCAAGAGGACAGCTGGCAGCCGAAGTCGCTGATGTCCAGGCAGCCCGGCTCCTCGCTCGGGCAGGTGCCCACCCCACGAGGGGGTCCCAGAAGCGGGAAGGGTTCCTCGGGGGTCAGAAACTTCTCGTACGAAGTGGTGGCCGACGCCTCGTCCGACATGGCTGGAGAAGGCCTGGCTCAGGCTACCTCTCTGGGCCCGGGCTGCTCCCGCGTCAGCCCCTGCCCCCACTCTAACCTGTCCGCTGTCGCCGCCGCGCCTGGGTGTGCCAGCCACAGTTCACCAGCAAGCTGAGCGTCGCTGCCTGCCGCTGTTCCTAGGAGTGCGGCGCTGCGCGAAGAGGCTGCTTCAGTCCACTGCAACCCGCTGCCCCCCAAGTCCCGTCCCCAGTGCCCTCCGCAGCCGCCTCTGCCACCACCACTGCTGCTACTCAGCCCAGCCTCGTCAGCGCAGCGCAGCGCCGGCGCAGCGCCGCCGCCGCCGCCGCCGCCGCCGCCGCGCCGCCACCGCCCCGCCCCGCCCCGCCCCGCCCCGCCCACTGCGCTCGCCGCCTGCGACTGCTGCAGTCCGCCAGGCATCCGCCGGGGTGGGGTTGGGTGGGGGTCGCGGGGGCCGGCGGGAAGCCGCTCCCCGCGCCCCCTGCTGGAGTGGAGGAGGAACTGAGCCGACGTCTGCCGCAGCCACAGCTGCACCGCCCACCCCGCCCTCCAAGTGGCAGGTTAAGGATTCCAGGCGCTAAACGGCCCGGCACTTCAGGTCTACCCGCTCCTCCGCCTTCTCACCCACGGCTGATTACTGAACAGCAAGCCTCAGGCCTTCGAAAAGGGGTTTGGCTAAGGTAACACTGTGGTTGCGTGAAAAAGAATCCAGATGCCCTGGTTCCCAGCACACTCGATCACCCTGTCCCAATTCAACAAGTATTTATTGAGCTCCTGCTGATCTGGGCCCAGCAATATGCAGTGAACTTTAGGGAAAGCAAGTTAAGTAGAGAAAAACAGTCCCTACCTCATCTCTGGTCTCCAAACCCAGAGAATTATAGGCAGCGGCCACCAGGCTACTCAAAGCTGATGGACATGTAGAGCTCTTTTGTGTTCTGTGCTGTGGCTTGCGTTTTGCATTCTGCTTGGAATGTCCTGTGGTTTCTCCCTTGCTAATCCTTAAAGCCCTAGCTCAAACGTTACCTTATCTGTTAAGCCTTCCCTGACTCTCAAAGAAGACAGGCATTCCTGCCAATGCTCCCATTGAAAGGGTGCTTACTTTGTTCAATCTGAATCAATGTACTAGGTATCACACACTATTCTTTCTTCCTCTCTTTTATCTGTATTCCCGACAAGTGGTTCCAGATCTTAGGTGCATACATTTTTAAAAGTATTCGGAGGAAAACATAAGATTGCCAATTTCTTATTTTGCCAACTGAACGCAAAATTATAAAACTACTATTTTGTAAAAGGAAGCGTGTTTCATATAAAATTATGTGAATCCTGAGGACTAAGAGGATCTCCTGGTGGCTAACTGGGCTCAAACAAAAAAAGCAGAGCCTCGCAGCCATTTCTGCACAGGGACCTCTCACTGCAAAATGCACTTCAGAGAGAAGCCTCTTCGTTAGACTGACTACCTGTGAGCCCCTAAATTCCCTGTCTGCGCTGTTTCTGCTATTTGAGAAAGCCCATATAAAAAAGTTCCTGGAGTCCTAATTCAACCAATAGCACTGATGCTTACCCCATCCAATCGGAGCTGTGTAGCTCTGACCAATCAGGGATGAGGGGCGGGGACTTCTAGTAAGTCAGATCCACTCCTGCTTCCAGGACGGTCTTCTCATTGAAGATTGCCATTGGCAGGCTGGAGCTGAAACAAGCAGAGCAGACCGGTGCAGGCTGTCCTACGTAGGAGCGGAGCCGGCCATTATGGCTCTGCCTAGTGAAAAGGGGCCCGGGCTCCAGGCCTTGCTGTTTTCGCAGCAGCTGCCTATAGCACTATCAGAGCTATTCACAGCAGTGATGTTTCACACCCATGCTTATTACCGTTAAGCTATTTGCAGTCAATCAAAACTGGGATTCCTGTTGGCATTTGAATTGTCGCCAAGAACCATGACTGAGAACAAAGGCATAATCTCTCAATAAAACACTAAATATTGGGTTGGCCAAACAGTTCCTGTGGGTTTTTTCCATATGATGTCTCTTGTACAGCTTAGTTGTCTTTAACTTCTTTCGAAACAATCTTGTTACATTGTATCGTGACAGCTGTCATATCAGCTTTCATTAAAAAATCTTAAAGTTGAATTTTTGTGTAGTTATTTTAATATTGAAGATGGAAGACAACCCGGAACATTTTTGCCATATTATGCTTTATTATTTCAAGAAAGGTTAAAATGCAACTGAAGCAGAAAAATATTTGTGCGGTGCATGGAGAAGGTTCTGTGACTGATAGAATGTATGGAAAGTGGTTTGCGAGGTTTCATGCTAGAGATTTTTCGCTGGTGAGGTAGACCTGTTGAAGTTGATAGTGATCAAACTGAGACATTAGTTGACAACAATCAACATTACACCACATGGAAGATAGCTGATATATTAAAAATGTCCAAATCAATAAAGCTGAAAATGAAAATGAAAAATGTGCCTTTAATTTTACTGAAAAAAGTAATGGACTTTTTGGTCAATCCAATATATTGAATCTCAGAAAGGCCTAGCACCTCTTCTGATTGGACAGGTCCTCCTATGCAACTCATCAATACTAACATTGAATGAACATAATAATTTCTAGTACCTCTTTTTATAAGGTAAAAGAAAATGTCTGGTTATACAAGGGCCATCTAGAAAATCTCAAAAATAATGTTATGTGCTAAAGATATCCTGAAAATTATTTAGCTTAATTTTACATTTAGGATTCAATCTTAGGAAGGGCAAATAATCAAAAGATGTCAGGATATTTGACATTTAAAATAGGACAGTTGGTGATCCAAAACAATACAAGGTTGGACCCCCCCCAAAAAAAAACCCAGAATTATCTTCTGGAGGGCAGGCCCCTTGTTGTACAGTCTTACCTCACTACATGAGTGTTCTAAGAACCCATCTGTATCAGTATACCAGTGGTGCTGTGAGAGGTTGCACTGAGCTTCAGTGAATTTTTTTGAAGACTCTTTTCAACACCTTTGCCCATTTCATGAAGGGTGATTTACGAGCACACCTGCCCATACTGCTCTGAGGGTTCAGCAGTTTTTGACCAAAAACAGCATGACCCGCAGGCCCACCCTCCCTATTCACCCCATCTCCCACTGAGTGACTTCTTTTTTGTTTCCCCAAATGAAAAAATCCTCAAAGGGAAATGCTTTGCCGATGTGGAAGAGGTGAAACAAAAGTGGCAGAAGCACTAAAAGGCATGAAAATTGCTGGGTTCAAAAACTGCTTTGAGCAATGGAAAAAATATCTCAATAGGTGTATTGCATCAGATGGAGAGTACTTTGAAGGTGACTGAGGTTTAAACATGTAAGAATAAATACACAATTTTTTATAAATAAATCCCAGTTTATTGGGGTTTCCCCATCATATCTGACTATTCATGGAGAGTAGCAAAACTTTTAAAAATAAAAATATAAGGTAGCATGAGGATCAAGAACCATAGTTCTTTCATAAGTGATAAAGCTTTGTTTTCTTACATAATTAAGGATTATAATAGTTAACATGAAGCACAGAAAATTATTATGGTAATACATGGAATATTTTTTACCTAGGCAGATTACACAAACTAACCCTGAATATTGCAGGTGAAGAAAATAAACAGTAAATCATTGAGTGTCTTGTACTGTTCTGGGCCCCAGAAATACGAAATGAATGTGACATACACTAAACCTTCCAGGAATTAACCTAGGTAAAAAAACAGATATGACAAAACGGGGTAGGGTGCAGAAATTGCTAATTGACTATCACATACCTTTTCTTCCATTTCTTTCTAAGTAATAAAATCTGATTTTGGGGGGGAGTAGCTATGTGCCCAGATGAAAAAACGTAATTTCCCAGCCTTCCTTTCACACAAGGGTGTACATGTGACTAAGGACAATGATATGTGTGTGCATATGTACCTGCACTCTCTGCACATGCATGCACCAGTGTCAGGGAGTAGGAGTAATGGTGTCTATGAGGCTGCTAAACTCAGGGGCCCTTTTAGTTACCTTCTTACTAATTCTCGCCCAGATATGGTTGTGATGGCTGGAACTACAGCAATCATAATGCTACATGGAGAAAAACTTGAGCTAGGAAGCCAGAGCTTGACCTTGGAAAATGGCAGAAAGATAAAACAAGCAACCATAACCATATTGAATTGCCTACCTTTGAATTTATTTTATGTGATGGAAAAATAATGGATTCTTAATGAGCCAAACACAATTACTAATCAATGCAGCACTTAATTGTAATACAGTGAGATAAAAGGTCTAAAAGAGGTATGTATTAAGATCTATGAGTGCACATTTAAGGAAAGGATGAGTTCTGCTAGGGAGAAATGAGATTGGGGGATTCACAAAAGGAGTGACATTTGACCTGGGCTTTTAGAATATGAGTAGCTGTCTACTGGGCTGGGAAAGATGTATATTTTAGATGAAACACTGTGGTACTGAAATTCCATTTAATTTCTGTGGTAAAACTGGTGCAATTTAAAAGATAGATGATGGATTTAGAAAACATTTTTGATTAGCGATGAATGATGTGACATTAATCATAAGCAATTTTGAAAACCCTTAAAGGTTGATGGCCAAAAAATGTTGAGAAATATAAACAAGGGGATTATTACAATAAAATTTACATATTTCCCCTTATATAATTTTCTCCTTTTTTCTGAAAAGAAAATAACATATATTGTTTCCCTGTGTAATTCTATCCATCCCAATGTTTAAGTACTTTAAAATTTTAAATGACTGGGTAATTCACCCTTCTTCAATTACTCTTGCCAAACTTTTACTTAACCATTGTTATAGATAAGTTAAGAAAGTCATATCCTCTTCAGTATACATACAAGGTCTGTCCGGAAAAAGTCCAGGCATTGTTAATATAATGAGAATAGTTTGCATGACATCAACATAACCTGGCAGCCAAGGAGAGTGGACTGGGATATGCATGTGTGAACACTGATGACTTCTTTGTAGTAGTCAGTGGGGGTGGTAGACGCTGTTGAATGAGCATGTGTACTGTGTGGCCTTTGCATTCAAAATGACTGTGCGAGTAGAGCAATGAATCTGCATCAAATTTTGTGTTAAGCTTGAACATTCCTTCACAGAAAGTATTTGATGATTCAGAAGGTTTTCAGAAACAATGACATGAGTGCAGCACAAATAAAATTATGGCACAAATACTTCAAAGATGGTTGAGAATCTGT